CAAAGAAATAGTCAGCTCAACAGCCTCTGTACCTGCATGCATGGTAAATTTGTATAAGCAAAGATGACAAGGTAAATTGATAACTTAAAATAGTTCCTAGTTTTTACAATATCTTCCTAGTTTTTTATAATGTACTGCTGGAGAGCCTGTCCATGAAGAAAAAGTTCAGTCCTCTTCAGATTTCCAAAACCTTATCACCCAGGTATGTACCATTCTTTCTCTCTCTCTTCCCCATTACTTAAGAGTATTCCAATATGCTCTTACACAACCCTTTCCATCATGATTTTTTTGTTTTCCCTCGCATTCCAGATAGTTCTGTTCATCCTACCTCCTTTCTCAAACAACTTCGTTCCTGCAATATTATGTCATGTCCTTCTCACCTGGCTGATTCCTACCTACGTGCCTACAGTCACTTTCCCTTTCCTTTCCTCAACTCACAGTCTTTAGAGTTTCTTTTGCTGGTTTGTAGGTGGACTATGCCAGCCATTTCCCTGTCCAATGCCCAATTTTCCGTCTTCCTTATTATCCTCCTTCATTACTTTGCGACAGAGGTTTTCCACTGTTCTCCTAATTAATTTACAGGGAACACTGAAACCCTCCTTTTCTCTTCCCTTGTACAATCGTTTTCTTCTATCCTTTCTCATCTCATATGGTTCCTTTGTTGTTGAGACCTCTTGGGTAGATATTCCCTACTTTCCTATGTTTATCTTTCCTCTATAACCTTTGTTTTGCCCCTTTCTCAGTCAGGAGGTTTTAGGCAGATCCCAAATTCCTTCAAATCATGAGCCAAAGTTGCCCATTAATGGTCCTCACTTTCTTCATTAGTCTCCAGTTTGTCCTATTCTTATTCTTTCACACCTATCTCCAGACCTCACCCACACCCCTTTCTGTTCTTTTCTGGTGTCCTGACTTTCCACTTTCTCCTACCACCTGGTTGTATCAGGGCTTATGAAAGCCTGTCTGCCCTGGTTTGCTCACTTGTGGGCTCCTTTCACTGTAGACAGATGGGTCATTTAATTCTTCACCCATGGTTTCTCCCTTCACCTTTCTTTCCCACCTTATCTTCTCTTCAAACACCTATCTTTTCCTCACATCTAGCCTACCTTTGGCTTCTGGAAGGAACAATTTCAGACCTCTTGGAAAAGCAAGTTATAGAGTGAGTTCTAAACCCTTCTCTGGGTTAGTATTCTTGCCTTTTCATTGTCCCAAAAAAGACTGAGGACTGGCACCATATTATTGACTTCTCCTCAATCAACCATTTTTTTGTTATCCCTAATTTTTGGATGAAGAATTTCTCTCTTCACTGGTCTTTCCAGTCAGGCCTTTGGATGACCAAGGTAGATGTGTCAGATGCATTTATCCATGTACCAATAGCACCTGCCTCTTGATGTTACCTCAGGTTCATCCATGAGAACCTAGTCGAGCAGTTCCATGCCCTTCCATTTGGCATTGCAAAGGCCCCATATGTTTTCATGGTCAACTGGCTTCTCCTTACCTATTCCCAGGATGAATTCTAGGACCCAACTTCCCTTCTTTTTCATGAAGCCACCTATTTGGGAATGCTGGTAAAGATTTCCAAATCCTTCCTCATCCCAACCCAATTTCTTGTTCACCTGGAGATAGTGTACAATTCTCTACTCAGTTTTGTCCAACCCTTGCCACTGTTTACCAGATCTTGAGAATCTTGTCACCAAAGTCTATGCCTCTCCTTCTCCATCCTTATGGGTGGTTCTATCTTTTTTTGGGGACTATGGCTTCTCTGGAACCTCTTTTTCACTTGGCCAAGCTTATATGCATACCATAAAGTGGGCTTTGTGTGACCAATACACGAATCCACTGTCCTCATGGGTCATCCTTCCACTCCTTATGTTGAAGGATCTATCTTGGTGGCTGGACCATTCTAACACTGCTGCTAGTGTTCTGTTACCTCCTCCCAAACCCACATCTCACAGGGTAGAGAAAATCCCTGAACAACTCTATCACTTCAGGCACTTGGTCCTTAGAAGAGAATTCTCTGCATATCAAAAGCCTGAAGTTAGTTGTGGTCCAAAGGGCTTGCTCCCACTCTCTTCCCCATCTGGTGGATTGTTTGGTCATAATCCACTAGGACAATTCCACAGTAATTTCTCACATAAACCATCAAGGAGGCACCTGTTCCTGGACCTACCCTTCTAGTCAGGTGAATCTCATTGCCTACTATGTTCTGGGCACTCTGAACATAGTTGCAGACTGTCTTTTCATGATAGGACTTGGTCCTACCCATGAAATGGACCCTTAGCCCTTAAATTTTCTATTGAGTTTGCTCCCAACTAGGTACTTCTTAAATAGATGCAATTGCTTCACCACTCATTACCAAACTGACCCTCTTTTAGTCTCCCATTCCTCACCCATCAATCCTGACAATGGATGCTCTCAGTCAGGACTGGTCTCATGTCTTCCACTCTGCCTTCTTGCCTGGGTACTAACTAGCTCTGATTTGGGACACCTCATTGACCCACCTAATCTTGGTTTCTTATAAGTCTCCTCTCAACTAAACCCCCACTTTCTCTTCTCAACATTCTGTCCCTTACTGTTCAGTCTCACATTTTTTTTCTTTAAAATGTAGCACGTCCTGTCTATAAGGTTTTTCCTCCCATGTCCTTACTACTCTCTTCTGCACAGACCTTTTATTCCCACTCCATTACCATACTAAGACTTGAACGTCATTCTTAATCCCCTCACTTCTGACCCTTTGCCACGTGTTCTCTCTGTCATCTCTTCTCCTTCTTGTGTGTGGTCATCGTCATTCCAATGTTTATGCCATTGACTCCTCCCAGACACTTTACCACCATTCATACATTCTTTCTTTTCTATCCCAACTGTTCTTTACTTCCCAAAACTTCAGCTGTTAAGGAAGGTGGTCCTACCCTTTCTCCTATCTCCTTTCCCTCCATCTTTTCATTCCTTGGGACCCCCTCCTCTACTTGAGACTTTGTTTCCCTCAACCCTTACCAGATTGTTTATTCTTCATTAGGGGTGGATAGTCATAGACTATTTTTAGTCTCCTCTCACCAGATTTGGTAGTAGAGATTCTCCAGACTGGCACATGGACTACCTTCACCATCTGGTTGTCTTCAAAAGGATACAGACTTCCACTGTTTGCTATTTGTCAATTGACCCTGAGCATTTAACAAGTATCATTGTTTACCTATTTTTAGATCCCACTATGTTATGCTAGTGCTGCTTTCCAGGGTATACTTACCTGAAATCCACATCGGGCTAGAACAACTGAAAGCATTCAGACCATCCGCCTTGGCCTAATCAGTGCCCATTGTGATATAGGGTGTTCTGCATGATCACTGGAATTCTGCTTGTGGTAATACTATTAATTGTTCAATAGTCCAATCCAGACTGTACCCATTCCATAGACTATCAAGGAAAAAGCCAGCACCTACTGGTTTTCACCCATTGAAATTAATAGTTGAGAAGGTGTGCATCCAACCTCACTATGCTTATTGGCTGTCCAATGGCTTGTGTGCGAGTACTTGGACAGTCGTGTGCCTATCCTGCCTGTCCTTGTGACACTTCGCAGGTCTTTTCGCTCATTCTAGTCCTGCTCGTTGGCAGAGTAAACCATCAATGATATGTGGTTTCCCATGGGTGTGCCCCTGCCATACAGTGTTGCATTCCATGGGCTTCCTTTGATTACTTTCTGAAGGGAGCTTATCTAGGTAAATTTTGCACTGGTCCCTCTCCCATTTCAATATGGGAGTTTAGCTTTATGCATATGGAGGTGAGTGATCATACAGGAAGGTAACATTTTCCTTCAATGAAAATATATTTAAGATAGATGCTCACCTCCAAACATTTTCCCACCTATCCTCCCCACTTTCCTGGTGCACCTTTCTCTGTGGCCTTGTCAAAGAATGATGCAATTCATAGGTGAATGGAGGGGAGAGCTTTTGAGAAAGGAGGTATGTCACACTCCTATTGATGGAGGATTTTGCTGCATGATACATCACCATGCAGTAGTGCAATTTCACATCATTCACGTGAATTTTAAGTGGGAGTTTTCACAAGGCTGGTGGCATGCAAATCTCTCAGGCAGATAGCATGATCTCAAGAGGTAAATAGCTTTCTGTGTATTGAGGGGAGTATCAATCAGAATAAATTTCCAATGAAGGAAAATGTAAACTTTAGACTTGGATTTTTGTACATTAAATTTCTGGCAAAGTAACGGTAAACACAGAATATTGATACATGTTCTTTTACTCTTCATTTATAAACCTTTCAAGAAACACTACTTTTCTTATCTTTCCTTCTCAATAAAAAAAAATGATACTGTTACTTTTGTAAATATCAATTTTTCAAACAAAATACTTTAGTTCTGAACATTTATTTTTCCAAACATAATGAAAAGGTGATATTTTTACAATTTTCCCAATTTCTTTGGTTTAAAACCATAAAGAAAGATTAAAAGCATATATCCAATACAGTCCTGAGCCTATGGATTTGAAATTGACCTGAATTTCACTTAATACCTTCAAGAAATAATGACAACACATACCTTCTATGTTAATGAACAGTTTTCCAACATTACGTATAAATTATTTCCACTTCACTAAGCACCTGTTTTTTTGCTTGTGTTCAAAAAATAAATAAAGTTTTTTTAATGTAACTTACCATAAGAGGTTATCCTAATAGAGAATGCCCTCCATTATTATTCTAAAATATGTGCTACGGCTTCTAACACAAGTTTTGTTTATTAATTTTGTCAATCTAAATCTTCCTAAATGTTTTATAACTTCCTTTTATTTACAAAAAACTAGAAAAATATCTGGAATGTACGTATACTTTTTTAAACAGTTAAGCAGATTTTGTAGTAATTTTTTCACAGATTTATTAATTGAGAATTATAAAAAAAACAAAAAACACTTACTATTCAGTTTACAATGATTAGTGCTGTGTGTGTTTATACACACACACACACATATATATATAGTGAATAAAAAAAGTACACACCATCAAACTCCAAGGAAGCATGTTTTCATAGTATTCTAGCTGTCAAGAAATGAAAACAATGAGCAGCAGTAATGGAATATCAGTGAATCAGCATTTAAAAACATTGACTGAAAAGCTGTTCAAAAGACCCAAATGGTGAAACCACAGTGATGTATAACATTTGGACATTTTTCCTACCTTAGCATTAGGCTTTCCAACACAGGATAAATTATCCTGTTACTGGGTTATCAATGGAAGGTAGTTTCCCATTAGTTACCCTTGGAATAATGGTTTTACACACCATCTGTGTTACTGATAATAGAAAAATGATTAATTATTTATGCTGTGCTAGATTACCAATAGAAGGCATTTTACACTGGTATCAGACTAGTGGTGGATGATGCTTACCTATTGATTATCCACCAAGTTATAGATAACACCCAGTTTTGTCTTTATTACCCTGCCACCAATTTACCAATTGGATAATGGCTTCCTTAGGAGTCATTACTAATAAAAATCTGGTAATTCAACAGTATACCCTGGGACTGAGATGTTTTCACCTTATGCTGTATTACTAGTTGAAATTGGTTTCTCATTGTTTATCCTGGAATTAGGGTTACCTGTGGAAGTTTTCCTTTGACACCAGGTTATCCAAGGAAAAAGTGTTTCATCTCTGGGATCAGGTTACCAATAGTGTTCCACTGTTTATACTGGCACTAAATTACTAATAGAAAGTTGATTACCCTGATAATACTGGATTACCAATGGAAGGTTTCTTTTCAGGCTTTGAACTTATGTAGTACTGAAAATATTTGATAGGCTTATCTAGTGAATCAACAATATGTTTGTTATACTTAATATAATTTTAGAAACTTGTGGAATTAATTTTACACTGTCAGTTCAATATGTGGATTTAAGATTAGCACAAATCTCCTAAGCTTATCACACTCTGACATATTACTGGGATTATAGCTGTAATCATTGTTAATAGTTAGGGTATCCTACTAACAATTTAGTGGATTCTAATCAAAGTTTTATGTTTTCTGATGTGTTTACTTATGACACTAAGCATTTCTTGTAAGTTATTTACACAGTTTTTACTTTATTAATTTACAAATTATTTTAAAAATTATTTTTGGTTTATATAGTAAGATTTTGTACACAAGTTCTTAGAATCTTCATAGTAATCAATCAAAAATAAACTCCACGCATTACAGTATGTTTACACAACCTAAAAGATAATTAATGCTCCAAAGTCTTTTTTTTTTTTCTTTTCTGATGTATCATCTTGGAAAATTAATGCTGATATATATACATCATAAACAAGATTAAGAAAATGTAAAATTATAACAGTAATTTCATGACTGAAAATAAAGTTAAGTAACATTTTGAATTAGAAATTTAAATTATGAATATAAAATAAGGTATAACATATGAATAACACTTCAGTTTACAATGAAAGCAATCCAACTGAACTCTTAACAGTAAATAACTCGAGAAGCTATAATTCAACATACAGAACTAATGTTAGTAAACAAAAAGTGTTATCACATATATTACAACACAGCATTTTGTTTTACTGTAATGTACATTAATCAGTTCTGGATGTAATGATGACAACTACTGCTAGTAACATCTTATACACTAATGACATACATACATTACATCATAATACAAGGCTGGAATGTTGGAAGAGCTGAATATACCATTCTTGACAATTTATAAAATAAAATCAAAGTGTACAATAAAAACTTTACTAAGAAATAAAAAAAAATATTTTCCAACTACTGTTTCTTTTTTTAAAAATTACACACATACACAGTCATCTCATCAGCATTTATTTGTAGGAATAAAATTAATTCAATATATCTACATTTGCATCCAGATTTTATTACAGTAAAGATATTAAAGATTTAGTTCTTTGAAATGAAAACATAAGATTCATCTTAGAATCTACAACTTCAATGTATGCCAATAAAGTATCAGAATTTAGATAATTTTCTTCAAGATGAACATTATGCTTCAAATATCACTATTTGTAATCCGTACATGAAACTTTCCAACTTTTTCATTAAAAAAGTATGAAATAATGAAAGTGTGAATTACAAGAATTTTTACATTTACCTGTGCATCTAAATTACTGGAAATAAAAACTATTATGAACTGATTTAAGCTAACTAGCAACAAATGCAGACCTGGACGTACAATTATTATAGATGATGCAAGGTGCAGTGTATTTGTTTCTTTCAAAGATTTTTAATAGCATGCCTACGTATAAGATGTTGTTTGCATCACCTCATATCAAGTCCTTTTTGGAAACAATGATCATTTTATATTGTCCCAGGTGTTATTTAACCCTCTTTATGTTATTTTTAGTAATATTTACTTTAATAGCAAAGTTACATTTTTAGTAATTGTATGCAGGACTTAAACTGAAAGAAACATAATGGATCAGCACATAACTAGTAGTGTTATTTTTTGCTTCTGTAAGTAATTACAGATCTTTTTAAGGCACTTTCAGATGTTAATTAAAACATTTAAGGTACTTGATACCCAGTCTTTTTTCACATTCTAACAGGATCAACATAGTCTTTAAGATCATAGTGCTTAAGACACTTCTGGTGGTTAATCAAAACATTCTGAGAATCTAAAGCCATGTCACAATGTACTTATCACAATACCTACATCCAGGGGTTGTTTTTTTTAGGGGGGTCATGGCAAAATTCAAATGAAACAGATTGATACACCTAGTATCATGCCGCACCAGACTTTTTTTGTACAGGTAGAAGAAGTCTAAATGGCCAAAGCAAAGTTTCTAGTACCATGTCTTGAGCTTCTACTACAGAACACAGATGTTCTTCAAACTTATTTAAATATTTGCATAGTTGTTGTGCAACAATCAGGTCATCACTTTGAACCAAAAGGTCTTCAAAAGATGGTTCAAATCCCATACACTGGGTAATCACACTCTGTACCAAATGTTCCTGGGATTTGTTGCTGGCACCAGTATCTTGCAGAAGGAATACCATCTGGTCTATTTTATACAAATGGTAATATGAAGTTATTAAATTCTGTACCAGTGTAACATATTTCACACATTCTGATACACACAACTTTACCATACTTGATCGGTGATGCTGCATAATGGTGTTGATTTCCTGAAACTCGGGCATCTGGTTTTCTGCTGCCAATAACATCTGTTCCATCTCTTTCGAAGTTGCATAGTCCAAAGGAGTGAGGCCCTGGTGTGTTTTAGACTGTAGGAGTTGTGCCCCTTGAAGAAGGAGGAGGAAAAAAAATACATAGTTAAGACAAGAAAATTAATACTTAACCCTTTTGTCCCTGCAGCCATTTTAAAATTCCTTTCTGCATTGGCACTGTGTTACTTCAAAATTTGGTTGAACCACTTTACTATCAATGTATTTTTTGTGAAATTATCATCATTAAGTATGTTATAATTTAAATTTTTATATTATCTAAGCTGTATTCCTTTATTTTAAAATGAAACATCTAAAACAGAAGTTGTTTTTGCTGTCACGTGATCTGCTCACCATTACAATTCTCAACTTTTAAGAGTTCTCATACAACTGTGAGTAGCTAACACAGACTATTATGCTAAACAGTCAAAATCCACTACCCAGGTGTATTTTATCACAATCTGGAAATGTTTGAATGTTTTCTTCCCCCCCAGGAAACCATGGTAAATTCTTTATAAGTTTAAGGTCAGCCACACCCACTTTTGAAGTAGAAGCTGTGTTGCTAAGCGACAGTTTGAAGTTGAATGGAATGCTTATAACCAATAGAAGAGACTTTAGCACTATATGGTTTTGTAGTATAACATATAAAATAAAGCTTAGTCCGTCATCCAGTGCAGGGATCCTAGCATTTGGCTGTACTTTCTTGCCTTATACATATTAGGCTGACAGTTAAATTGCATTTAGGTTTTACTTTTATATTACTTGTGATTTAAAATTCATATTTGAAAGGTTTAATAATTTTTATAAGTTTAACTTGTCACCTGGATTGTGAAAGCTTAACAAACCCAACGTGAGTCTGCTGAAATTACTTCCTAAAAAGCCTGCAAGCATCAGTTAATGTGTCATCATAAAAAGTAAACAAATTTGAAAGGAAGATTAAAGTGAAAAACATGAAATTATGCATATGACAAGAAAAAGTTTGAAAACCATTCTATGAAGAATTGAAAGGTATGTATATATTTCCCTTTGTTAATTTTAAACATTTCATTGCACTGTATGCTGATGATAATAGATAGTGATAAAGTAGAGAAAATTGACAATAAAATATAGAAATTTACATTAAAAAACTTTTAAGATATTCATTTATGAAGGTTTAGAGATTATGCAAATGAAATGTGAAACTGTAAGGTAAAAAATAGTATTTTTATACTTCATGTGAACTATTCAGAGTCAAGTGCACATAACTTCATTAAATATTTTATTTTTATTAAACTACAAACTTTTAGGAACATTCTTGTGAAATTTTAAACAATTTCACCCTCTAGTTTTATCTTTGAAATGAAATATAATGATAGAGACATCATGTGCTACAAATTGTAGCACATAATGCATGAAGGGTTAAGGTATGTTACACCAAAGTTATGACTACATAAAAAAAACAAATCAATACCAAAATATACAGATACAAACTACAAACCTCCATAATCCACAAGAAGCCTCGCAATCTCTAGCTGATTGGCTAACACAGCATCGTGAAGAGGAGTTATACCATCTTGACTTTTTGCAAAAATGTTTACCTTCATTAGACTAGAATTTTCTAGGTTAACAAAAAAGAAGTAAATATTCATTAATGACAATACTTGCCAACTGTAACTGACACAGACTTACAACATAAAAAGTTCTTTCATCTCAGTTATGTCATTGTCATGACACCTCAGAGTTGTATCACTGCACAACATAACACTATCTTTTATCCATTATAATATACATCATATGATCCTTTACAGAAGTGTATCAAAAATAAGTAAAAATCAACTAGTTTCTTATCTAAATTGTATCACTGTTATAATGTATGTAATAAATTACTTTACAGAACTGTACCATAGGTCAGTAAAAACTGCTAGTTGTTTGGTTGGTTGGTTGTTTGGCATTTTTTTGGTGCAAAGCTACATGGCGCTCTGTGCCAAACAAGCAGTAAAATGAATTGAGTTAAAAGTTAACAATGTGCAAAAAATCTGATAAAAGACTCAAATAGAATTAAAAAGACCAATGGCTCATAAAAATACAATCAAGTTGGACAGTGTCACCATCGCCAATGACACAGTACAATGTCAAGGCTAAACCCTACGAAAACGCGTCTAAAATGGTGCCGTCTCACAGATTTGCAACAGTAGGAGGAAGCTGTGTAGTGATAGCATTGATCTTGATACTGAAAGTGAGACACTCAAGACACAGCCTTGAATGACTCCAATTTCCTGTGTGAAAGAATGGGAAAGTGTTGAGCCTATATGGCCTTGGAATCGCCTGTTGGGTTAAAAGTTCTTAATAAAAATGGGTAGATGGCCATGCAACCCATATGAGTGGAGGCCCTGCAAAATGCCGTACCTCCATGTAGTGTCATAAGCCTTCTTAACATCAAAGAAAACAGACATGAGATGTTTCCTCTTGAGAAAGGCTTCCCTAATCGTGGTTTGAAGTCGAATCAGGTGGTCCACGGAAGAAAGCTGTTAATGGAACCCACATTGGGCGAGAGATTTTTTTATTTGAGGAACCAAACAAGATGAGCATTAACCATACTCTCTAAGACCTTACAGAGACAGCTAGTCAATACAATTGGATGATAATTAGAATGAATCTTGGGATCCTACCCAGGCTTAGAGAAAGGAAGAACAATAGCCTGGAACCAAGCATTAGGAAACACGTTCTCCTACCAGATCCAGTTAAAGACAACCAGAAGAAGAGCAAAAGAGAAGAAAGATGGTGCAGCATCTCATAGTGAATGTCACAGGATCTGACCGATGTATTGCTAGACTGATGAAGAGCAAGCTTCAATTCTACCAGTGTAAAGGGGTGATTATAATCGTAAAGACAATCAGCCCGAAAGGAAAGAGGTGATCGCACTGCCCGAGACTTGATGGCCAAGAAGGTGGGGAAAGAAGTGCTGGATGCACAAGAAAAGCTCTTGCTGAAAATATTGGCGATGCTCTGTACATCAGCAACTTCCTGGCCATTGGAGAGCAAGATGGAAAGCATATCTCCCATTGACCCTCCGAAGCTTGTCTCACATGACTTTGGAACTGGTGGTATTAGAGATGATAGCTGTAAACTTAATCCAAGATTCCTTTTGGCTTTGATGTGGTTGGAAATAGTAGGATACCTGCAAAAGGTATCCCAGGTCCGTTTATAAGCCTTTCATGCCTGCTGGCAGGCTAAAGACCACCATGGACGAGGATACTGTGGGAAACGTGTTGCAGTTTTAGGTATAGAACAAACAGCTGCTTGAATGATGCAGTTATTCAGTTATTGCTACCACACAGTCGTTAATAGATTGAAGATTAATGAAAGCAGGATCGAGTTCCGAAAGAGAGCCAGTTGGCTTGGTCCACATTCCACTATGGCCCTCAGGTCAGGTGGTCTCCCTCAAAACAATAGGAAAATGATGAATGCCACATGGCTATCAACTATCAACCTTTCAAGAAAAATGAGAGCATAGGGAAGGAGAGCAGATAGATAGATAGATCAATAGCAGTAAACGACTGACTAGGTGCATGAAAAAAAGTAAAGGAACCAGTACTGAAAAGACAAAGGTTGTGATCCAAGAGCATACGCTCTACAGAACGATCCTTCTTATCAATATCAGCACCACTCTAGGGCGGATTGTGTGACCATTAAAGCTTCCTAGGATTACAAAGGGAGATGGCAACTACTCTATGAGAGCATCAAGGTCTGATTAATTGCAAGTCTCTCCATGAAACAGGTAGTGAGAACAAAGAGTGATGGTACAACCCAAAGAAACACAGATGGCTACAGCCTCCAAGGGTGTATCGAGTGGCACAGACAAGGTGAGCAGGCACTGGTCGACCAGCAGTGCCACCCCTCTATGCACTCGTCCATCACACAACCTGTCATTCCTGTATAAAGAAAGCTGCCGAAAGGTGACTATATCAGCAGATTTCAGGAATGTTTCCTGTAAGGAAAGACACACGGGATGATAGGAGTCGATCAAGGCTTTAATGTCGTCCAGATTAGAATGAAAACCTCAACAGTTCCATTACTTAGGTGGAGGAGAACTGGACAGAGAACCCTTCTGTTTATGACCATACCATTTTTCTTTACTAGAAGGAGGTTCTATTGACCTCCATGAATCCTGCCTTGGTCAAGTGGGCAGATCTCTGTCATTAGACTTAGAATCCAGCAACTGAGGGCGTTAACAAATAATTGTTGTGCATCTTGGGGCTGAATCCGAGTGGTCACTGGAAGGAATGGTGGGGACAGAGATAGGAGTAGATGTGGACTTGTGAACTCATTTATCCATAGAGGGCAAAAGATACTTCACATGATGCAAAAAAGACTGATGGAGGCACAAAAAGCTCTGATTGCACACCCACTGTAGAAGTGGAATGGAGTGTAGCAGTATATGTCCATGACTGGGGACAACAACTTTCAAGCCTCAAGATAAGAAATGCTGTTAACCATTTTTAAATGCTGTATCTCTTACTGCTCCACCCACTTAGGGTAAGGTCTATAGTAAGAAGGGTGGGAACCACTACAATTAACACAGTGAGGGTCCATTCACACTCATAGGCTTCATGGTCTTTGCCACCACATCACAGAACCATGACAAGATGCCTTAGAATGACCAATCTGTTGACACTGAGAGGGTTGGGAATATATGGCCATACCTTACAGTTCAGATAACCTGTACTGACAGTGGCAGGTGGATGTGGCAATGTAAAAGTCAAAATAAAAACATTGGTAGGCAGCATAATTCCTTCTTTACTGGCTGAAGAAACCAGCGAGGATCCTAGACTCAGGAAAGTTCTTCAAATCCCTCTCAACAATAACTCCTCATGAGGAATTCAAAGTAGCACGGGGAATAATCTCAATGGGTATATCCCCAATTGCCTTTGAATTAAGGAGTTCACTGTGTTTGGTGTAGATGTTTGCATAAAGATGTCCCCACAATGTAGCTTCTTAAATGACTTTGGAGAGCCAGCATGCCCCTCTAATTCATTCTGAATAAATAAGGGAGACATTTGCCCTAAAGCTTGGTCTGACAAGGAATGAAAGATCAAAAAACAAGGTACAAGTTCAGAATGGATTGAAGACTGCTGGTCAGTCTTCAAGGTGTGGTTGTTTACCAATTAATTGTTTTTTTTACCTTTTTTTTGAGGATTTGGGGATCCATAATGAAAGGATAAAGATTCAGTGCTTACTCACCCCACCCATTATGGGGTCCTACAAGGGGTTGCACTACAATGCCAAACAAGGACACTGCAGCAACATCAGGGCTTTGTGAGCACTATAACCCAAACACCAGCATCAGACACAATGTCCACAACACCTGTTGAGAACTGTCTGCAGGAATTCAAGGCCAAGGTGGTGTGTTGCAGTGCCCCAGACACCACTCAACCACCAGGATCCTCTTCTCCCCTTCATGGGTCACCATGCATGGAAAACATGTGGGTGGATGTTCAGATCCCAGAGGAGGTAACTGAAAATACAGAACCTTCCCTAGGTGGTCCCCTCACCACGTACAGGAATCCACCTTGAGGGGAAAAAAAGCCCAGCTAATCCTTTGTTTAACTTGTATCACTGTTGTATATTTTATATTCCTTTTATAAAAATATATCACAAGTAAGTAAAAATAACTAATTTGTTATCTAACTTTTATCACCAGTGTATGTTGTAAGTTCCTTTATATAACTGTACAAATATCTAGTTTTTATCACTGCTATAATTGTATGTCATGAGATGCATTATAAAACTGTACCTCAGGTTGGTACAGTTAGTTTCTTACTTAACTTGTATCACTGTCATATGATCCTTTCGATACTCTATCAACCATATGACCATTTTGTTTTTTATCTACCTTAAGAGATATCAGTGTCCAGTTAAAAAAAAACAAAAAAAACATAAGTGTTCATAAATGAATATCTGGTCACTTCAGGTCAATTTTACTTAATCTGAAAATAATTTACATTTAAATTTTTTTTATATGAAGAGACATCATAAGCATCAATTACTGCATACCTGAGGAGACATAACTGGTTAGTAATTCTTTGGGCTGCCAATTCAAGAGTTCTTTTACACAATTCACATGGCCATGAATACAAGCTTCATGTAGCGGGGTCCACCCAGCATTGTCCTGAGCATTGATTATAATCCCTGGGACTGCCAAGAGTTTTTTCAGTTGGTCATATTTGTTGTATATACACGCAGTGTGAAGAGGGGTTTCACCTGTCAGTGTAAAGAAAAATTAGCATCTGAAAGAAGCAGGAGACTAATAAAAAATTTTAAACTTAGTTACCAGAATAATAAATAGACAAAAGTCTATGCAAACTTCAAAATTAACTATGTGTCAACAGAACAATAAGAGATAAAGACAAAATACTGTACTAAACATGGTACTAACCAACATTGTGCTAAATGCAGTACTAAGTAATAGTCTGAACTAAATAGAGTAATAAGTAACAGACAATACAAAACTACATTAAACTGTGTCAAGTTTGGTGCTAATTGGTCAAGAAATGTGGAAATATATAAGGAAAAGACAGACAGAGACACACACACACACACACACATTGACATTTATTTATATAGATTAGATGGGAATTCACCACCACCCTCATAACCTTCCTCATGTCATCCTGTATCACAGTGTTAAATTGTGCTGATTTAGTAGTTTTTCTCCTCTCCCCTCATGACCTTCCTTATGCATATCCTGTATTACTGTGTCAAGTTTGATACTGATTAATTAAGAAATGTGGAAATATATAAGGAACAGACAGACACACGCATTGACATTTATTTATATAGATTAGATAGGAATCTACCATCATCACCCTCATAACCTTCCTCATGTCATCCTGTATCACTGTGTTAAATTGAGCTGATTTGGCAGTTTTTCCAAAATTAGATGGGGGGTACAACTCCTCTCTCCTCATGACCTTCCTCATATCCTGTATTACTGTGTCAAGTTTGATGCTGATTAATCAAGAAATGTGTAAAGAACAGATACATACACAAACACATATTGACATTTATGTAGATTAATTAATTAACTGAGCAGCAAGTTTCATTACTAACATAGATATAGTATGTACCATATAAAAGCTATACTAACATATTAGGAAAGTGACAGGCAAGAATGTTAACAGAATGATAAAGATAGACATGAAAAACCCTATAATAAAATCAAAAATAAAGTTAATCATGATAAAAAAGGAAACATCAAATTCTGGCAAGTTTTCATGGATTTGCTGCCATGATACTGATCTGTGGCATCAAATTTACCAGTCTCAAGGCAGCAAATCCATGGTAATGAACTAGAATATGATTCAGCAACTACCTCCAAAAATATTCAAAGGACAATATCAAATTTAACAGAATAGTAAAAGATACACAAACTACATTAAACTGAACAAAGTAATAGATGATAGACAAAACATCACATGAAAGTTAACAGAGTATTAAGTTAAAGACAACACTAAAACTACATTAAACTGAACAAAGTAATAGATGATAGACAAAACATCACATGAAAGTTAACAGAGTATTAAGTTAAAGACAACACTAAAACTACATTAAACTGAACAAAGTAATAGATGATAGACAAAACATCACATGAAAGTTAACAGAGTATTAAGTTAAAGACAACACTAAAACTATCTAACTTGATATTTTTTTTTATTTTCTTTTATATGAGGGCAAATGACATCAAGTATAAAAAAAAATCTTACTAAACCACCTACAAAACTATAAACGAATTGTTCAAACTGAGACATTTATTTTGTATAAACAAAAAATATAAATTGTTACCCTAATTTACAGTTTTGCTATCTCTCAACTATAATTTTTAGTTGGAAGAGTATAAATACTCAAACTTGCCAAAAGTGTAACTAAAATTTCATGTTACATACCTAAAACCTAAGGTCTCTCTATAACTGTTTATATATGGTGCATTTTGAAAGGTGGTGATGCCAAAAACTGTAAAATTGAATTGACTGCATATTTGTTTTACAACTTAGAAGCTTATAAAGCTAACAAAATAATAAATCAAATTCTGAAAACTGGGGTCATTTTCTTCTTTCCAACCTATATTCTGTGCATCTCCTTTCCTTCCTTACACAGATTGTAAATTTCTAAACTTTTAGTCAAAAGCCTTCCTTGAATACATGCTTTCAGAATAATCTAAGTGCATCATTTTGTTTTGTATGCTGCATAAAAGTAATTAAATAATTTTTACTAGTTACCCTGCTTGTTTGTTTATTTTGTTGAAGTAATTATTTTGACAACTTTTTCTATTTTTCCAAACCTCCTGCTTGTAATTTGAAACTATGAAATTTCAAAGTGGTCTTTGCCCTGGAATAAATTAGATTAACTCTGACTATGGGTGTGTTGAACCTACTACATAACCACCAAAGTAACCATGAGGTTACTAATATACAACTTTTGACTTTTGTACCTAAAAAATAAGATGTTTAGTTAAGTATTAAATAGGTATTTGCTTGTGAATCTTTGCTTTTGGAATGATAACTATCCAACATACAAAGTAATTTTGATTTTAATATTAAAAATACTTTCCTTCATCTGAAAGTTATCAAATTTCATTTGTGTAATCTCTAAGATTTTCAAAATAAATAGTAAATGTTTTTTCCAGGAAAACTTTATTTCATCCATTATCTTCTTTACCCTAACTCTATACAGGGTTTGCCAATTTGACAAACCTCATGACCATTAAAAATTAGGAATTCTAAATTAACCTTTTTTCTTTCTAGAATGATTGTAAATTGTAACATGAAACCACAATTGTTTATACAAAATAGCTTAAATCTTGTAACAGTATACAACTATATATACTTGTTAATTTTTTTGTTTTATTGACTTTTGAACCATGTCGAACTAACAATCATGCCTAAAAATTGTAAATCATGCTGCACACATGCTGCTCACATTACCATATCAAATAACATAAAACTGGCCTACAAAGTACAAATGTTTTACTCTTCTTAGTCTTAGTACTGGCATACCTGTAAAATTCAGTGACATTTTGGTAATAATACATTACATTTATAGATATATATATATTATTACTATTTACAAATAAATTCTTAAGTTTCAGTTATTTTTATTAAAAACAGAACAGTAAATAAAAAATATATAGAAAACAATGATCTCTACTGCTTATGATGTTCCAAAGTTTTGTGTACTTGAGCATTGTACTAGCTAAGCCTTGTAAAAAACATTTTTTGCAGTTTTTATAATATGCATTTTGGAATAATATAAAATTATAAATTACAATACCAATACCACAAAAAAATCCACTGCAATTTATCAGGCTTCCTAACTAAACTATATTTGGGTCTAAAAGATCTCATTTCTGATCAGAATATTGCCCTGATCATCACGCTTCAAACTCTCCACGGGTTATAGCAGCTTTAACCATGTAGAAACTTTAGTATGAGAATTTTCAATTGGTTATAAACATGTACTTAAGAGAAGTAGGTGTAGGTAAACAAGTATCTTCAAATGATGAAGTGATGGGTGGAACCACTATGGTGAGTTTGCTAAATATAATATCTCAACAAACATAAAAAGTAGGGGGTTCTTATTTTATATTTTAGCTTGCTAATATTGGTAATTTGAGTTCCTAGTTTATTAAAAATTGTAGACATTTTATGATGCCCACAATACAATTTGAGCATATGAAGAAGACAGTGTACCATACGACACACAAAAAAATTAATATTTAGAAATTTGTTTTAAATATTTACTTTAGAACTAAGAAATTAATTAATGTATAATACTAAAATCTGAATTACAAACTACAGTTTAATTCCAAATTTATGGACATAAATTCATAAAATGTAATAAAATGTCCTCTGTCCCCTACCCATACGGAAAGGGTTAACAGGTAGTCTTTTTGGAACAGCTGTACATAATTTCTAAAATAAAAATAAAACTTTTTTTTCAATGAGATATAGTAAAATAAAAACTTTATTTTTTATTAGTTTTAATAATATGCAAGGTATTTTAAAGCAAAACTTATTTTGATAAAGTGGGCTAACGTGTGACACCATTAAGCCTACGATGATTGTGTTATTGCTAATAAATTTGTTTGTGAAATGTAGCCTTCAGGTAAATGGTTATTGGTGTGTTGAAACTTGGCATAATAAACAGTAATGTTACGTACTGGTTTTTTTTTCATCATAAATTGTAAATTCACCAAAACATTTTAACTTTGGCTCAGAAACATTCAACAACTGTCATTCTGTTAGGATTGAAGTGTCTGTGTTACAGATGTAGTCATATTTATATGATGGTAAATCTAGAATTAATTCCACTGACTGGAGAGAATTTAACAATTATTTAACAAACAAGAGATTACACTAAACTTAACATATCTAACACTAACTTAAATATATTATTCCATGATCATTTCATCTATGCTTGTTATGTATCATTGAATTATTACTTATAATTGCAAAACGTTAATCATGTATTGTTTAATAAAGATAAGCCAGGTAGTAAGTTAAAGAGTCACAGTTTGCTTAGATGTTACCTTGCTAAATTTCAATATTATTGGTCATGCTATTCACAGATTGATACATTATCAGAATATACATAACATTTTTAACACACAGAAGAAACATGTTCGATTTTATAAAATGAAATATTCCTTAACAAGTACACTTTTCATAGGTCTAATAAATTGTGTGTGAAATATGTCTTCCAGGTACATAGTTATGAACGTGTTGCATAACAGCATAGCAAATACCCATATTTCATAACAGTTTATACTTCATTAAAAAAAGTCAGTGAATTTTATATTTTTTACAAGCCTGGAAAATACCAAATATTTCTGAAATATGATATGAAATAAAAAGCTCAACAGACCTGGGTAGAATTGTTAGGCTTTACTGAAATAAACTGTTCTTTTTTTTTAACATTTTTCAAATCTTTCCTATAAAAGTATGTCAATAACATAACACAACCAGGATATATGTGTTCCATCTTTGACTACTGACATGAGGACCATTTTATTAAAGCAATAAAATTTGTAAGATCAAAATAACTTGTTTAATGGAAACAGTCTGTATTTAAGTAATAACTTTAGACTTTTACAGTGTAATAAAATGATCCTTCATGTCCTAGTTTTAGTAAAATAAGATGAAGTCTTTGTACTATTTAGATGGGAACTTCCTACTGTTTATGTAATATATTACATCTGCCTTCGTACTCCATGACAATTATAGGCAAACCAAAGGATTAATGAATATAAAACAGTTTCTGCTAAAAAAAACTTGCAAACTGATGTGCTAAATGCACCTGTATGTGATTCTATGGCATTAAGATTACTGCCACGGGTATCCTTTACTGCACATGACTCAAAGTTTTAGTCTTACATTCAAAATTACATTAAACTACTTTGTTTATGTTGTACCAATTAGTATAGCATAAAATCGTAGCTAATAATTCATATTTCAATAGTATACAAGTTTTAAGTTCTTAATTCTATAAGGCAATATTTTAAAAAAATCCTGAATTTCCCCTAGTGTGATACAAGTGACACATTTTCTCTAGGTATCTTCTCTATTTTATCCACCTCTCATCAAAAAGAATGAAATTAAATGTAAATTACTCAATATAAAATCATCATTGCTCAGACAAACTAAAATTTTTATAACCTTCAATTTCAGACCACCTCCTGCCAAATCCTTTCTTTCAGGATTTGTTAATAGTTCTCTCTTGAGTTTAATTATATATTACCTATAACAAATAGAAAGTAAAGGTTTTTCTCTATCAAATGATGTATTGTATAACATTGTGTTCTGAACAGATAATCATCTGTGTCACTCAGAGTTCAAGATCCATTCCTTTGGAAAAACTAACGACTAGCTAGGATGAATTTGTAATGGCTCTTATCGGATAGTTTGAAAGCCAGAAAATTTTTGAGTTAGGGAAAAATTGTCTACTTTTTGCATGTTATTAGTCTGTTTTTTAGTGCATTATTTAATTAAATAAAATTATTTAGTGCATTACTATCATTAGTATAAAAAAGGAGGGTTAAGTGTCACCGACAATTGACAGCAAGAAAATGGATTTGGTATGTACTTTATTTCTTGTCTTTTATGTTTATTCTTTATTTATTGTTATAAAAGTAATTGAAACGTAAAAATAGGGATATTTTTAGATTAGCTAATATTAAATTAGGTAAAATAAATAATAATATAATATATAAAATATTTCATGCAAGCAGCTCGTATGTAATGTAGTTCGTTAGCATAAAGTGATCTGCACATTCCCCGAGTAATTTAAAACTTACAATGGCATGAATAATAGTTAGACACAGTTCAAAGGGCAATAAAACAATAAAATTTAATAATAATCTATTTATAATTTAATTATAAATAGATGTATACCGATAAACGATTGTAGTTTCCTGTTACAATTTAAAGTCATTCTAGAAAGAAAAAAAGGTATGTTATATTTATTTAATTTTTTTTTTTTGGTGGTTATGAGATAAGGTAGAGAAAATAACAGATAAAATATAAAGTTTTACTGAAAAAAAAACGTTTGAAATGTATTTAGGAGGTTTTAGGAATTACACAAAAAAAAATTCAAAATTTTTGAGATGAAGAAAAGTATTTTTAATCTTAAGATTAAAATTACTTTGCACACAGACTATTCAAAACAACTACTAAATATATTCATGGGCAAATCTTTATTTTAGTTTATTCAAAATACTTGACTAAAAATGTGATTTTTTGTATGTAAAAGACTTATAATGTTAACTGAAAGACTGCCAAATTTTGTGAAGATATACACATGTTATTGAAAGTTAGAAGTATTAAGTCTATAAGAGACTTTAAACGAATACAGAAAGGTCATGAGGTCAGTCAGATTGACCAAGCCCGTGTTGAGAGAGTTCATGGTAACTTTTTTTTCGACATTTGTGTCCTACAAGTATCCACTGAATTACACATAATTCACCAAGTTTTTCTGTTTTTTATCTGTAAAATGAAATCCCCTGATGTTCCCAGGAACAAAAAATATAAAATTCACTGACTTTTCAGCTTTCCTAATCCATGGGAACCATGGACAGACACAAGATTATAGGTGAATAGTCATGTGCAATTTGAAGTATGATTTATATCAGTCTTTTAGTATGATTTCATTTTCTGTCATTTCATCTTGAAAAAATGTTTTAAGTTTGTACATTTCCAAATGTGAGACATTTTGTTTTGAAGCTAAGTATCACTTGTCTGTTGTGTTTCAGGTGACTTGTTACTTTTTCATGACTCCTTCGAAATCTTGTAAGATGTTAGACAAGTCTGAAACCAAACAAACAGTCAAGAAGGAAAACAAAGAAAAAGGAAGGTACATTCTTTTTTGTGCTTTATATATTCTGACAAACTTGTTCACTTTGTTTGCTAGCTAATAAAACTAATTTTTTATACTTTTTTCAGGAGCTTACCTGTGCAGCCAAACATTACTAAAAAAGATGGTTCTCTGTTAACCATATCAGAGGTGAATAGAAGAAATCATAAAGGTTAGTCCTGATTTACATTGTATTGTTTGGTTAAGTCATAATTAAATTGTACCCACAACATAGAGGTATTGTGTCAAAAAAATTGATTCTATAGTTTATTAACAAAAATGTTATGCAGCAAAAATATTAATACATTATGCTCTTCTGTATAAAATTGCTAGTACTTTTAACGTACTTTAAAAAGTCCAACACTTTTAGGTATGAAAATACAGTTGTCAGATTTGATAGCTTGAACACAAATTATTTACCATGGCAACAAAGTAAGCATATGTAACACCTTACATACCAATATTTTTACTTTGTTCAATGCTTTACAATATCAAACAGAATGAATGAAAATACCTAGAAACATATATAATAAATTCAAAATAAAACAAATTAGAACTGAAAAAAATCTTACCAATTAATAAAACAACCTTTGTTTTCCTGAAGAAGAATAGTCAACTATTTGAAAGCGCTCAAG